CGTATTAATGGTTATGGCTGGAAACATCACTCTGTAGCAGATCATATTCAAGGTTAATGAAAGAAGAGTGTGCTTAATAAAAGTTTCATGGAATTCACAAAGACAGTTATTCCTTTATTTGCCTTTGCACTTTAATATTGTGCAAAAAAAAACCCCTACACACATAAGGTTCACTAATTTATAGGGTCACTTGCAACTACAACAACATTTCTATTTTTTAAGTGCACATTCAATTAACCCTTTGAAATTCTGCATATTTTTAATTAAAGTTCTGGACTTTGGAGACATTTCACCCGTCTCTACCTGCCAGCCAAATGGCATCTCTTAGTAGATTTCTCCTTCCATGTTTATAAAGCACTAAAGCTAGCATTCTAGGAAGAACTGTGCAGCAGGTCTTTAGAGAGAAACTAGACACGTCTTTTGAATCTTTGGACCTGCCTATATCTAGGGAACTCATAGTCTGGTTTTGCCTCCGTCCCAGCAGCTTACAATTTTAAAAAGTAAACAATTTTGTCATTAAAATACAAAGAGAAAACAGCAGCTGTGAAGAGTCGATTCACTGAAAGCAAAGAAAGACAAAGCAAGCTCTCTGATGTTGTCTGCAGGGCTAAGGGTGCTATTCTTCAAGTCTCCTGGTCTCAGACTTTAGGGGTTTAAGAACATTACCTCAGCATTTTGAGCTGCACCCAGGAAGAAACTGGAAACCTAGATATGTGGTATGTCCCAACAAGCAAGGACCAGTGATCATTCTTGAGACTGTAAAGGTTGCTACATTTTGTTGTTGTTGTTGTTGTTGTGATGGACAGTTCAGTAACCATTCCTGTCCATCACAATGGAACCCTGATTTAACTACCAATGGTTGAACAGAAGGGGCGGAACCAAAGCAGTATAAGAGGAGAATGGAGATCAGTTAAAGGTCAGTTAGTGTTAGGGATATGAGTTAGAAGTTAGAGTTAGGGACTTCAGTTAGGAATATCAGTTGGATAGAAGCAGTTTAGGTAGTTAGGACCAGAAATATGTTAGAGAAGAGTAATAGATAGAGAATAAGATAAGAAATGAATGAATACCTTGATTAAAATGGTTCTTCATAAGCAAATATAAATGTTATCAAAGCACAGTTTATTGATTGAATAAAATAAGACCATCCATGATTCACTTTATATGATTTACTGATAAACACATGACTAAACATTGTTATATTGGATAACTGTGATTTAAGAGTCATTTTTGATAAAGTGAGGAATAAATCCTCTAGTGACAGCAGAAAAGGGTTGAAAAGTAAATGTCATGCCCAAAACTGAACCTGGGTTGTGTGGAAGAACAAACAGGGGAACTGGGGGTGTGTGACAGTTGTTAACGAAAAAATGAGTTTAGCTTAAAGGGGAAGTTTGGAAAAGCACACAGTATTTTTAAAATATGGGGCAGTACAGGGGCCCCAGGGTGATGGCCGCCTGGCCTTATAAAATTGCCCTCAACTCCCTCCAGGGGCATAAGGAGACTTCTTGCATATGCACACAAATTTCAAAATTTTTAAAAAATGTGGACATTGACATCCTGGAGAGACTGCATGTGACCCCTGGCTACATATTCCTGCCTGCTCTAAACCTTCTCTTCAGCCCATGTGTTGCAAACTATGATAAATAACAATAATAGTTAATGTGCTCTCAAATCAATTCTGACTTATGATAGCCCTTTCAGGGTTCTCCAAGTTTAGAATAGTCAGAATTTGTTTGTTTGTTTGTTTGTTTCCACCCCGCCTTTCTCCTTAAAAGGACCAGGGACAGTTTACTGTTCCCTCCTTCAGGAAATGCCCTGGGACTGCAACTTGCCCAAGGCCACAAAGGTTGGTTATTCTCTGTGAGACAATGTGGAGAATCAAATTCCTATAGCTGTGCGCAAATGGCTTTTTGCAGTTGCCTACGTCCAAAGTAACTGGGAACCATTTCACTAAATTTTCCAGAGGGAGAAGAACTTCAATAGTTTTCTTGAACTTGGAGCTCAGCAGCATCGATGGTTGTAGCACAGTTTCTGTCTTTTTTGTGAAAGTATGTTGTCCTTTTTACTTCTAGTACAGATGGCAATAGCAGCCGTATTGGTACTAGATTCTTACATCTGCCATCATGTCCCAAACCTAGCTTTGTTCCATGATATTGGATGGTGGTAAGAAAAAGGCAGCTACCACCAAAGAAAGATGCGAAAGTTCACTTCTGAGATCATTATCTGGGTGGAACAATTAAGAGATGCCTGCAAAATGTCAAGGTTGAGTAACTTCCCCATGGTCTCCCAAACCTAAATTTTTGAGGGGTAACATCTGTCCTTAATGCAGGTCCTCATAGTACTGCTTATTTCCCTACAAACCCTATGAGATGGAACTAGGCCTAATTTACTTGCATGTGCCCAAATCCTACCTGCATTCCTATCTCCTTTTCATCAGATTGTAAGGCTTTGTTTATTGTTTCGAGTTGCCAAGGACAGAATGAAAGAGGAACGTAGTGTTTTCTTTTTGTTCCTTGTCACTGTGTAGCTTCTCAGATGGGAAAAGGGATAATAGTCAGTGGCTTTCTTCCTAAATAAGTGAACTCTTCCTTCAGCAATAAAATTGTAAGATGCTACTAGTTTGATAGAGAGGAAATAGTACAGTATGCCTTTTCTCCCTCCAAATACATGTCTCTGATCTTTGCCCCCTGTTTGTATCAGAATAAACTTGTAGTATAACTATAAAGGCATGGGAAACAAAAGAATCCCTAACCTTGCATTTGTTCATCTGTTTCCTTTCTTTCTTTTTAAATAAATAGGCACTGTTGTGATGGTTTAACTACCATATATGGGAAACTTTCTCAGAACAAATGGAGGTGATTACTTTAAAGGCAACTTGCCTGGGCTTCTTTGATAAACAACTTAATTCCTCAGGAACCCTGCTTTTATGCCTGCTTGTTCTAAACCCCTATTCTTCCTGTTTGTATGTAAGTCACATTAGTATATTATTATTATTATTGACAATTTACTGATATCTGTTATTTAGTATTTCCAAACACATCCACTGCTGCAGATGTTTTTAGCCGGTGTCTTCATTATAACTTGTAGTTTGTTTAGGTAAAAAGAATTTGCTAGCTGTTAAATATCTGTGTGTGTCTAAACTACCTTTCTGTTGGTTCCCAGCAAGATTAGTGGCAAATCTCTGCAAAATCCTGCCTTGTCCCCTTTGATGCCATAGCATTCTTAACAAAAACCTTTACACCTCTAATAAATAGTTAGTACTATTTATCAAACTTGGTAAGCACCTATTTGTGGGGATTTCAGCCTAGTCTGGCTTCCTAATTGTTGACATGGCTTCAGATGAAGAATTATGGTTTATTGTTATCTTGCACTGGAACATAAGGCCTGGAAGGGCTGTTTTCACTCTGAAGTTTGTAATCTTGTGTTTCCTTGGAGGGAAAAACTGTGTGTTGTGCTGTGAATCTACTGTCTCATTCCTTGCGTAGTGCCAGACTTTATATGGCAAACACAGTTGTTGCATTTATAATGGTGTACAACAAAAACATGTCAAGCCTGGACAACATAAGCCCTCTTCAGATATATGTTGCTTTCACACTTATGGGGATGAATGGAGCCATGTTAGCTAGCTTGGCCACAGTGTTGGGTCAGAAAGTCTGATGCCCGAACAAATTCCTAAGAGCCCTATAGACCGTTATAAACCTCTAGGAAAAATCTCAAGCCTGTGTTCGAACAACTGGCATTTATGCCTGAAATTCCACTGTGAACTAGACATTCTTTCCAGTCATATCAAAGTTTGGTATCAAAGTAAAATAAGTTTCTCCATTGTTGGAATGATTCCAAGCAACCTTAGCTTGTCTCTTTTTACAAGCTTAGTTTGTCTACATTGCTTCTATGGATAAAAATCCAAAAATATTTTGAGAAGTTACAAACACATACTGTATTAGTTACACAGAAATAAGTCATACAGCTATGAAAAACTGTGGGCACAAATGCTTTAAAAATAAAAACTAAACTTCAGTTGCAGGCAAATACTGTATTTAAATCAGATTTCAGTCCAAAATACAGGCACTTATAGACTTATGTATGTATAATCAAAAATCAGAGAATACGTACATCTCTAAAATACATCATTAAAAAGTGAAAAAGCATTATATATTGAGCAGTTTTCAGCTTTAAGTATATTACTGGACGTACAAAAAAATATTATGAGTGCTCACCCAGGCAAACCAATCTGATTCTATGAAAGAAAATCCATGTTGTTCTCATCTGTTCTGAAGTGCTGTTGCAAGCTGTGCTGCTACATGTTGCCACTCTTTGTTGTGTAATGGCCACTAAGTTATGTTAAAAAATACTGGCTGTGGGGAAGGGGGTTGCATAAAATATAAGCTTTTGTGCAAAATATCTCCATAGACTTTATTGGAAACAAAGTCCTGAAATTCAAGAACCGCACAAAAAGTCTCACAGGTGACAATCCTGTTCACTTATGTGACAGCATAAAGGCAGATTAAAATCAATCATGTGCCCCCCCCATTTTGCCAATTTTCTGTGACATCACTAGTATATTGGTTGAGAAACTAGGTATACAAGCAGGAGTGTGACCAGGCACACAAAAGAGAGTCTCCTGCAGTGGAAATATTGTTGCATGATTGCATGTATGTGTGCTGATGTTACTCAGTTTTACTGTGGCCATAATCTCTCCTAGTAGGGTGAATTGTTTTTTTACTTCCCCCCTGCAAAAGTAAAAGAAGAGAAGTTTTGCCTCCTTAGTAGTGAAAAGTCAATATGTAAATAGTTACAATGGTTTTCTTGAGTTAGAAAAATGAATGTGAGGCTGAAGAAATGAATGACATTTCTCATGACTCTCCTGGTGAGTCTCCAGGAGCATCGGGACTATGTTTATGACAACTAACCTGCCCAAAGTATCAGCCATTCTTGATGCCTGGAAAAGGAATATTGTGCACTTTTGTGAAGAAAATAAATGCTATCTTTGTTTTGTCTGACAGCTTTCTAGAAACCGCCGCCTATTTCTGTATGAAAGCAAAAATGGGTGAGAAGGAGGTGTCCCTAAATGCTTTCTTCAGCATTTGGCATGAATTTAGTTCCGATTTTAAAGAGTTTTGGAAAAAGGAAAATAAGCTTATTCTACAAGAAAGGTGGGTAAATTCATTTTTAAAATGTCTTTAAACTTATTATAAATAATATGGCAATTTGTAATACATTCTTAATTCCTCTTAAGTGATGGATGACAGATTCCCCTTTAATGATGGGTCACAGATTCTCCCATTTGCCATTCAAGACTCCAGTATCTGCTTCCACACTAAAACCTGATAGAATGTGTGATGGGAAGATAAGTAAGAAACTTTTCCACCCAATGGGCTGGGGTTTCATTGCCCACATGGCAGCAGTGGGAGGGACATAGGGTACAGAGTGGAACCAAAAGGAAGCCATCGAGGCCTGATGTAATCCTTAGCAATGTGGAATTTTCCTTCTTACCCTAGAAAGCACAAGTCAGTTTTACACATCTGCTCAGGAAAAAAAATGTAAGAATTTTCAGGCATGTGAAGCACAGGTCAATTCTATGCGTATTCAGAAATAAGACCTAGAGCTAGGCACAAAGTGAAAAACAAACCAGGAAATTAATAGAAAATCACTAAAATTTGTTGATTTGGACCGGTTCAGTTGGCCAAACTGAAGAACCTGAACTTTCCAAAACCAATGAAATTTTTGGGTGATTTATGAACCTCTTGGTTTATTGCTCTCCCACAGCCTTTCAAAAAAAAAATTTAGATTTTTTTTTTTTTTTGGCCAGTCTCTCAGCCAGCGGAGGGCTTTGCACAGGTTCCTGCCTTCCACCTGAGAGGTGAAGACATGTGCAAAGGCCATCAGCTTGTGGCAGGGCAACAGTGGAGGAAAAGGGGCAGTGGCAGGAAAAGATAGAGGGGTAATGGGGAAAATGGGAAGAAGGTGGGGAAAGGTTGTGGGGGTGGGGAGACAGCCAGGTTGTTGATTTTTTTAAAAGATAGCCATTAGGCCCTAAAAAAATTCCTGAACAAACCAACAAATCGATTTGTGGTTTGCTTGGGAAAAAATTGTAAATTTGTGATTTGTGTACTTCCACAAACCAAGATGAACTGCCCTTTCGGTGGTTCATGCTCATCTCTAATAAGACCTCATGTGGCAGCTTCCTGGAAATGCACATCTGAGTTCCATGCTTCACAGCTAATCAGTGCCTTCTGATCAGTCACTCATCTGAGATATAAACAGTGTACTGTTAATTCCTACATTTAAAGCTTTTCCAAAACTGTCATTCATGACAGTTTTGTCTTGCATTTGAGCAAAGAGAGCTGTTGTAAAATACTGCAATACCTCTGTGTGATGTGACAAGGAAACAAGACTGTATTAATCTCATTTTACAGCATTTGTACTGGAATGTTAGCATGTAGGGCTCATCCACAGAAAAGCAAACAGAAGGTGAGGGCTTTGGAAACCAAGTCCTGTGAGGAACTGTTGAAAGAGCTCAGCAGCCTGGAGAGGAGAAGATTAAGAAGAGACATGATAATACTCAAATATTTGAAAGGCTGCTATGCAAAAGATGAAGCAGACTAGTTACATACTACTCCAGAGGAGAGGGCTACAACATGTGGATTAAAAAGATAGAGGAACAGCATCTCACTGAATGTCAGGAGAAACTTCTAAACAGTAAATGCTCTTCACCAGATTGCCTTGGGACATGGTCAGTTCCTCCTTCCTCAAGGTCTTTAAAAAGAGACTGGGCAGCCATTGGCTATGGATGCTGTATTTGATCACCTCCCCCCTGAGTCTTCTCTGAAAAGGATGTTGGATTACATTGTTTCCAGGATCTTTCCAGCTTTATGACTGTCTGCCCAGTCAAAGGTACTGGCATCAACCTTTAGCAGCCTGGAATGTTGGTGGAAATATCACCTCCCCCTAGAAACATTTGCCAATATTAGTAAAAGAAGCCCTGCCTGAGCACCCATAATTAAGAGAAATGTGGCATAACTGAGTGAATCATCGATATAGTATTTTCTGTAGTTGTTCTGCTGCTGTGCAATTTAGTACACAATTTAAGTACATAAAAGTTTGCATTTTTAGGTTTGAGCAAGGTTTTGAGAGATGTAAGACTGGAATACTGTAGGATATTTTATTATTGCTATTTGTCACTATGTTATGTTGTATGTAGTGTTTTATTGCTGTCATAAACTACACTCGTCTTAATTGGATGAGGCAGGATATAAGTTTTTAATTGAAAGCAAACAGTAGTGACTGGCAGACCTGCTTTCCATCTGATTCGGTCAGTCCTGAAAATAAGAACCATGAGACCTGTAATACTTTGCTGTAAGTTCCTGTGAGTTAGAGTTTTCTTCATTTGGTGCTAAAGACTCTTCAAAGCTTAGGCCACAAAAAAGGTTCTTCAAAGGTCATAGGTGCTATTGTTATGACAAACTAATACAGCTGTTCTCTTGAAACGTTTCTACCCTGAATGTAAGACTCCAAGGAGCTACTTTCTGTGAAACATGGTATGGTGAATTTCTGATGCCTTTCAGTCCCAGAAGCCTGAATAACTCTCAGATATCATTGAACTGTGATTCTCAGCTACTTTATTCAGTGTGGTCCTGAGTGATTCCTGTTGGCAACGTAGCTTTGACCTCTTTGACCTCTCTCTCATTATTTGCTTACAAGAGGTGATCATTTGTGGTGTCTGCAAAGCACCTTTCCTTTGCTATCCATTTCTACAGTATGCACCTTCCATCATCATATGTGGAAAGCTTGATACCTGTCGAATTCCTAGCCCAACACTTTAATGTGTCTAGTGTGACTGCTTTACTGAAAGCTTGACTGAAGTGATCATCCTTCCAAAGCTATGTTCTATAGATTAATACAGTATATAAATGGCAATTGCAGCCTGTTGTGCTAAATTACTGCAACTACAGTTATCCAAGCACTCGTCATCAAAGTGTCAATCAGTGCTTGTTTTTGTATCAGATTATTACTAGATAACATTAAATGTTGCTTTAAATAGCCAAGCTGAAAAGCAAATAAGTGATGGAAATCTAGTTCACTGTTTTAGTGTGTATACTTGGACTTACCTTTGCAGTATAGGCATAGTCAGTCTTTCTCTTGTATCCAAGGATCTCTTATGTAGAAGTACACCAAGAGGGAATGTGCTCCCGTTCATTTATATTCACTTGTTTCACCAGTGAGGCAACAGCTCTAGCTCTGTTGCTTGAGTGCATCAGCACCAACCACACATGGACAGCACTCTATGTGATACGCCTCTTCTGGCTTCAGGAAGCATCTCAGTTCCTGTTCTTAGCCAAATGAATGAATGAAGGGGGCTTGTCTGGAGAAATTATATATACCAAGTTTTGGAAATAAACTTTTCCGATTGGCACAGCTCGCGCTTTCTAAGGCAGTCCGTTATATCACTATAACAAAATATGGTTGCCATACTCACTGATAATGCTGTCTTGACTTGGAGGGCATGATTAAGTCTCTCCTCAGAGAATTCATCTCTCATAGTTTCTGGAGAATGTTGAATAGGCACATTTTAGTCATCGTTCATGTCCTGTTCATAGACGTTTTCTTAAACCTACTAGAGAGATGAAGGTTTACCATTACAAATGCCATTAAGGAATGCTTAATCCATTTGGACTAGTGAGGAAAAAAATCCCACTTCTAACAATTGCATTAGAAGAGGTTAGCAAAGATTTCTTTTTCTTTTTCTGTTTTGTTTTTTGTCTAGGAAGTTATGTGGGTAATTGTCAGTAATGATTGAAGGACAAGATATCCATCCATAGCTACAAATGATGATAATGATGATGATTGCCACTGCTATTATAAAGACTCCTTTCAGTAATATACTTCAGATAAGTTTGTTTATCATATCATTTCTTTGTGATTAAACCTTTCAGTTTTACCCCAGTAAAGCAATGCAAGTTGAAGTCTTGAAGTTTTACTTCACTGCGTCAATATTGTGACAATCCATGTTCAAGGAGAATCACAAGGTAGTTTCTTTTCTTGTCTTCTCTTTAGCAGAAGCTGGACACTTTTCCCATTGACATCAGGACATCTAAATGTCACACCTGTCTGCATCTCAACTTTGCTTTGCAACCTTTGACCTTTTTCTCTTGCCAGAATTTTATTTTGAATGCAGACTTATAAAAACAAAAACAATCCAACCTGGTATGTGCCTGAATCTTTGAGTAACCAGATATTGCTTCTGTGAACAATGAGTAGCATTCCAGTCATTCATAATACATGAGGGTTTGCAAGGATTTTCTTAGCTCAACATCGACAACTACAGAGTGTGACTGCAGTCTCTTCTTTCAGTAGCCATAATTATTCTTCACTGCAGAGATTGCTGGCTAAGAGGGAGCCGTGTATCTTTCAAAACATGACAAGAACCCTAATGGCTCCTTCCAACATTTTCTATCCTTTCATCCTCTTCCATTTCTCCATTGTTTTCGGCAGAGTGTGAATCGAAAAGGACAGCATGCTTCCTCTTGTAATGAACAGCTTATCTCGAGTTCCTGTGAATGTCGGTAGTGACCAAGAAGCATCTTGGTCACTATCTTTCATTATAGTGGGAAAAGCACAGATGTTTTGCGTATTTTTTCAGTGTTCTTGCTGCCCCCTGTACCTGAGTCTTAAGGAACTGAGGTGCATAGATGGGCTTATGTTTGGGCTAAAATGCCAAAAACCAATGAAATACCTTACTCAGGAAATTGGGCAGGAAAGCAAGGCCAGAATTCAGAAGCTCAGCATCACCTTCTGAGGAATTCACTAGGAATTCATTGTCTTGGCTGTTATTGTGACTAGAGTCACAGCTATTTTGCTTTTATTTTTCAAAGCTAAGAACAGGCAAAGTAATAACCACAGACTGAAAAGATACCAAAAGATGGAACCCATAGAAATTCCTGCTGATTTTGAGAGAAAACTGGTGGTGTGGGGGCAATATCCTGATGGGAGGCACGAGATAAACTTTGTTGCTTCTCTTGACACATTCTCAAGAATGACTGAATGGCAATGAGCAGGACATTTTCCCCACCAACCCTGCTATAAACCACATTTCAGCAAAGGGAATGAAAGAAGAGCCAGAACATTTTGGGCAGATTTGCTACAAGGGTAAACA